TGCGGGGAACTCTGCAAAAAACGCATCTTCGCACGGGCAGCCCGTGCGTTGGCCAATTATTTTTTATGCGTTTTGCATATCATTTCCTAGAAATCTAATTACGTCACTAAAACAGAACAGTAAAAGACTCTACATGAAGCGAAATTATTACCTGACAAAGAAGCGGTATCAAGTGGACATCTGGTAAGTGTTACAGGTGATGATTTATCTTCGCTATCTGCATCGCTCCGTGCTCGCCGCGGCCGTTCCTCGCCTTCTTCCGGTGGTGCTAAAGCACCGCCCCAGGAGAAGGCCGACCGTCCTCGTCGTCCGTCCTGAATTTCATCAACCTGCTGCAATGAAACATTTTAAAAATAAAGAATTCAAAAAAAAACCTATATTCGTTTAGACGTCACACCTTCGTTAGCATATATGAGTTGTGAAGGCGTTACTCAGTTGCACATGACAAGCAGTCGCGCAGGCAAGAGGAAAAATGAAGGATGATTGGAAGCTGTATTGACAATTTGAAAAAGCTAAGCAGATGGATGCAAAAGTAGGCTGAAAACGATGCTAAATCAGGCTGAAGAGGAGCAAAATTGGCTGGTAAGTTTACGTCGCACAGAAATGTAAAGAAATTCGGGTGGTGAAAAATGGATTTAATTTGGCGTAAAAACATGAAAAGAGCAGCAGGTGGCCATCAAAAAATGCTGCTAAGTCAAGAAATGTCGCTCTGCTCGATAACCCCTATTGCCTCCTACTTGGAAGATGAATAACGCCACTGACGCAGCACATAAACAAACAGCGATTGGAAAGTAAAACGAACCCTGGAACGCATGCTCTGTGATCTGGAAACTGGCTTTTCCATATCGGTACCGATGCCAGAATCCGAGGACGCAGATTTAGCGTTATCGGCGCCATGTAACTCCTGAACTTTTCCCATACTTTCAAAAGTTATGTAGTGTGCACAAATACTTTTGTATGATAAAGAAAGTGTCGAAAACCGACACGTCATGCATTTTTGAAAGTAATTATTACGACGCCTGACGGACGGATTCGTCAGGCTTGCAAGGAAGACTGAATTGAAGACCGGTTAACAGTCCGCTAGAAACTCGTGTCTGCTTAACTCCAAAGTTGTGTTAGTTTTTATGCTGCCTTAAGGGAACTGCGAGCAAGCGTATAAGTCTAAGGCAATCCGCAAGCACGTGTGTAAGTCATCGTTGTGAATAATTCCAAGTTTACTACTCTAAAACTGAGCTGGCACGAACTGACCTCTCTTCGTGTACAGATTTGCTCAGCAGCTGAAGAACAGTGGAGTCAAAACTGAATTCTGGGCCACTCACTGGGCACTATAAGTTTAAGTAAACCTCAAAGGTCTCAAGTTCGCATTTTCATTCGGTTGCATAAAATTACCTAAATCTGGCAAACAAAACTGAAAACAATACATAGGGGTGCAAGAGTTGATTTTGGGGAAAAAAAACTGATAATAAGTGTTAAACACATTAACAAAGATACCAAGACACCGTCACAGCACGCTGATCAGATGATACAGTTCTGGTCACAACAACCCTGGGAAGACTGCCAGCTATATCAGTGAAGCGATACGGCACAGCAGTGAAGCGATAACGAAATGAAGTATCAGAAGGTCCAAGCCTGGCCGGGACCACACTCCCGAGTTTTTGGCTTCCTGACTTGATAACTGCTTGAATCCAATAAACAAACACAAGTCTAAGAACACAGAAAAGAAGGCTTAAACTTGCAATAAAACGTGTTCTCGATTTATGGAAAAAGGCAAACACATAACTTCGCGTCATCAACGAAAAATGTGAGTATTGTCCTTTCTTATTCGAACTTCATTTTTTGGACCTCAGATTCGAACATAAGTGCGTAAGCATGCATATATATATGGAAATAAATTTGTAAACACACACACTCACATGCATAAAGTTTGCACATTTTTGGCGCAGCCGTTTGGCATCATCCGACCAAATGGTGGCTTTCAGTGAAGCATTCCAGTGCAGCAAGAAAAAAGCAGAATAGGCCCGAAATTATCCTTTTGAAAAGAAAAACGGACAGTGAATGCAACTGAAGTAGGATCAAAGCTAGCGTTTGGGGCGCAGAATTCAGCCACGCAAAGCAAAAATTTGCCAAATCAACGTGGACATAACCCGAATTGATAATAAAAGCAGTTTGGAAACACTAACTTGTGTTGAAAAAGCAACAAATAGGCCAGAAAAATAATTAGTTTGGCCCCGAAGGTTTAAAAGAGTGATATTCCAGCAAACACAGGGAACTGATCGAGGGAGGAAAGCAAGAAGCGAAAAAAGAGATGGAAAAAGTCTTTAAGAGACCAACCATACTCTGTCGAAGCCCAGGTAGAACAACCAACAGTTCTGTTTCCTAGTTTATCCATCCTCCTTCGATTATAACATCCTAAACTGCTTAGAGCCACACTTAGCATTTCATCTCAACAAAAAGCTTTAAAAAAAAATTGGATTTGCCACGGCACGACTATGCGTCTTTTTGGCTCTATTCTGCGCAATCATTTTCAAATCTCTTGGAAAACTAGGTCAAGTTTAATACACGTTTTTGTAGGCATGCAGGATTTTGGTGCCCATCTAGTAGGAAAAGGAATGGAAAAGAAAATAATATGGGAGGATGCCTCGTTAGCCACTTCCTTCCATCTCGATTTACACTTACTACGTCTCAGAACAAGATACAAATATAAGCACGCACGACTGCATGCATGCACTTCACAAACACCTTCATGAGTACACAAGCTCGACAGATATACGCATAAAACACGCATATGCAGTACGGAGGGAAACAATCTTCAAATCACAAGCCACGTCAATGGCGCATACAAGGGGCGGCAGAGGAGAAGAAAGCAGAGAAAAATTATTGCCCTTATCCCGCAGTTATAATAAACAAAAATTGATGCAGTAGAATTAAAAAATCAATGAAGAAAATGCAAAATGGGGCCTAAGATCTAATAAACTTAGCTGCGAAATACCAAACTGTGCTGGTGAACAAGAAATTCAGATTGGGATAAATGCAAGTTATTGAACAGGCCAATCGAGAAACAAGTAAAGAGAGAGAGAGAATGCAAGAAGCAGTTTTGATGTCAGTAATTTTTGTGAACAATGTTCGAGCATTTTCACAGGAGGTTACATTTTGTGTTTCGCGCTTTTTTTCCATTCTTTAACCAGGTTTGACAAAACTTCATCTAAACCAAGTAGAAGAATCTGCATTGCGGGGCCAGAGAGGAAAGCAGAAAGGCATAGGCGAAAATGAGTAATTCTATTCATAGACTGCAATATTCCGATATTCTCCGTTTCGATTCCTAATAAGTGACAAAAGAGGAACTAGCTTCTTTCGCATAAGAATATCGAGGAGTTAGGAAAATTTCAATTAGGAATCGAATAATCTTAAAAATGCGCGCTAGTGCTTAAAAAATCTACCTTGTCAGCAATGACGGTTGTTGCGTGTGGATGATCTCCTGATGACGATGCACATTCCATAGAATCGGACTCAAATTTAGCAGCTGACCCGGGACGTTTAGTTTTGAATGTTCCTGTTTTTTTCTGTGTTGCTGGATAACAGTGGTCAGCAAGAGAAGTTGTGCACTGCTTATGAACAACAACATCGCAGTCTGTAAAAGTTCGTGCAATTCAAAACGGACATAAATTTCTACAGAATCATGAAACAATGCACCATAATGCATCCTGGTGAATGTCACTTTCTTTGATATTTGGAAAAGAAATGAAATGTATGGTTTGGCGGGGCCCTCAGTGCTACTGAAATATAGCCACATGTTAATTTGCTCCGCTCCGAAGCTCTTTCGTTCCAATTTGTTCCGTCCGCTGTTTTTTCGATGTCATTCGAGTTGCAGTGTTTTTTCTCGTGGGTGTCATTTGATGACAAGCAATGCCTGTCGTTTGCTAGGGGAAGCGACAAAAGGTACTGCAACGGTCATTTATTTCTATCAAAGTCAATACGTTAATCAACGCTTCACCGATCTGATAGAGAAACTGACTAAACAGGCATTGTAGAACCATACAATTATCCTCTGAATCATCGCTATCGCTGCTTAGTCAGCGATTACTCCCTGATTTTAGAATGCATATGCATTTTTTCACCCAAATCTTACATCAATCAAATGTGAGGTCAGTGAAACACGCTTCCGTCTCAGTCAAACGGAGCAAATAAGACAGAAATTCGGGCGAGGAAATTCATCCATAGTTAAAAGTGCAGCTGCCCCAAGATAAAAATCAAGTCTAACTCGATAAAACGGTGCTGCCTCTAAGCTAGTTTGTTTTCCAATCTCCCATGTTCACATAGCCTATCACTTCTCTGCCTGCCTGGTTTTGCCATTTTTTTTTTTTTTTTTTGATTCTGTCCATATTTTTTTAGCACAGTTACGTATAAGTTCATGTAGCTGAGCTTCTGACTTTGGACAAATTTCCTCGGCTAAATTTCTTATTTCTACTATTTTGCTCATATTTCATGTTTTATTTTGAGGTGCCATATTAGCGTGGCGCCCTTTTCTCAACCCTGATCGCAGAGCGTCGCAAGGCAAGAAATAACTGGACGGACGACCTCTACAACGATGGCTCACGTAGACAGTGTTTGCGTGCTGGTGGCAAGGAAAGACAAGCAACCCAGGATCGAAGGGATTGGCATAGCTGCACTGAGTAATATCATAGGCCTGACAATCACTGCAGTCCTGGCAATCATTACGATCAGGTTGTACCTACAGGACTTCATGGAACTGTGAACTGTATAAATCATTGGCGATGCGCACTGGGCGGGCCCGTGCGATCATCCGTTTTTTTTTGTAATAAGACCACTCGAAATTCCGCTAGCTAGAAACCTCTTGTACATACTGTTCCTCGAATTTCGGTAAGTTAGTTGCTCACAATATACTTGGGCAGGGAACATACTCTTGACATTGCAGGCTCCCAGCTTTCTCAGTTCCCGAATTACCCAAAATACAGTCAGAAAATTGCACGGGACCGTACGTGGCAACCACGCATAATGGGGGGCTGAATTTGATAAATTTAGGTTGTAGATGATTTGTGAACATTTCCTGAAAATTTCAGCCCCCCAGCTTTCTTGATTCCTGAGCTAGCGATTTTCGCGCCAGGAACCCTCACGGGGCCGTACGCGGGAAACGCGCATACCTGGGGGCTGAATTTAAAATCTGAGTTCTATGTAATCCTAAAATTTCAGCTTTCTAGCTTTTCTGGTTCCCAAGTTAGCGATTTTCCCGCCAAAACTTTGATGCGCTCGTGCGCGGGGCCTAGACGTGCGTAAGGATTGGTACTGCGGTCCTGGGATGGCCGGGCAACCCCCTCGCAAAATTTTGGCGCTAGAGCTTGCTTGGGTGCCGAGTTGACCGGACAGACGCACACACACACACGTATATACACACACACGCACATACACACACACGCACATACACACACACACGTGCACCGGGTCGCCGCAATATGCGTTTTCGCATTCGCATATATGCAAAAACGCATAACAGTGGACGTCGCGCATTAGTGAATGGTACCGGCAAGAAAGAAAACAGCTTAGGCGGCCCTCGAAAAGATGATGCGCATACACAGAACAGATGATAGGCACCAGCTAAAGATATACAGCTCAGGACCAAAAGCGCTGAGCCTGACGTGTGGGAGCATTCCGGTAGCATCATTTACATGGAATAGCACACTGATTTTAGCCGGGTGGTCGTAGTATACTATCAAAACCGATTGAACGAGCTGGATAGTCAGTATGGGTACCCAGTTACCATCCACCGCCTGTTCAATGAATGTGTGTCAACTCTTCGTGGGCCATCCGAGCTGTTCCCTTTTTCGCGGGTACCACTCACTAATGCGCGACGGCCATCGGTTTCACATTCCGATTTAGTGTTTCTTGTTCTGCACAAAACGTCGAACACATACACACAAACACATCCAGAATCGCATTGTGGTTAATAGATTGTGAATAGATGATGGAGTTCCGCATTTTACATGTTTTTCGAAATATGTGTGGGGCTAGCCGTTTCAAGTTACGCTTGGTGTGTGTGTATGCGTGTTTAGCATCATCATTTGGCCTTAGACTCTGCTATTTTAGTACCGCGATGAAGAGAGTACTGCGCCGACAAGGTACTTTGCTGTCAAAGTCAAAAGTAACCTCGCCCTCCCAGTCCAGTCGTAACACATACACACACACACACAAACTGATTGTCCGGATGGTCTTCGTATAAATATGACATAGGGCACGCACACTTATTGCCCGGATTGTTTCGTTATTATTTTTATAGTGCATGTACAAAACTTAAAACACTCAAAGTGTTTGCTCGGACGGATCGTGGTACTGCTGCTGGCCGCACTGACGGTCCTGGTAGTGATTATGTGGCTAAAAATAACCTGCAGATATGCGGGATTTGCTGCAGCATGCAATGTGGTTCCACTAATTTCATGGTGGCAGAAGTGGAAATTTTTCTTTTTTTTTTTTGCTAATTTCGAGACAGTGTAAAATGGAGGCAAGCAATTAAGACAGAGGAACAGAGTACTGTTATTTGCGAAAGTTTCTAAAAAAATCAAAAATTTCACACCGAAACTCTCGCACTTCTGGAAATCAGTGAATATCATCATCGCCACACCATTCTTAATGAGAAAAGAGCACATTTGCAAAAATTGCTGCAGCGGAAACTGTCTGACAGTCTCAGGATGCGTACATTAGAGATTGCTTTTGTGATAACTTATCAGTGTTTTGATAGCAACAAGCTATTCGTAATTCAACGAATTTTCAAAAATCCTAAGACTGAAACTTTTCCATTCTCTGGAACAAGCAGATTCCCTCTCAGGCAGTTTGAGCAAAGCAGGTACTCATTTGAGATGATAGCCCTCTCAATCTCTGTCTCTCTTCACCCTCACACCCTCTCAATCTGTGTTCCTCCTCTAAAAGTGCGTTGTAGTACCGAAAGACTGCCCTCTCAATCTTTTTGGCGGATCTCTATTACTTTCTCAATCACCAGCCCACTCTCCTCTTTCGCACAGCGACTCCAGAGGAGATTTAGAGATTGAGAAAGCGAAAACACCGTGCAATTGCTCGACAGAGAGTGGGAGGGATTGCAGAGCTGACTAACAGACCAAGAGAGTAATTCCCAGTCCGACGCAAGACTGGCTGTGATATGAGCCCTCTTGCGAATGTTGCTGTTACAGTGTCACTATATAAGCGGGGTTTCTGGGGATTCGAGATCCCAGATGTCGTGAGGATACTGGCGTCTTTGGAATCTCCTGGCATCTCCTCTAGTTATAAGGATGCGCGACGAAAGCATACGCATAAAGTTCTGGTATTTCAACACTGAGGACAATTTTCTACACAAGAAAAAAAAAATATCATCGACCATTTCTGGCACAAATTTTCTATGCAAAAATATCACCGAT